AAAAACTGTAGTGGTGGCTGCAGGCAATGATTATCCTGGCAGATAGCAAAGGTCTGCTTGCCTTGAATATAGCAACTCTCCATCCTCACTGTCTATACTTAGAGGCTTAAGCCTAAGATGAGTATTTAGGACTGTTATAATCACCCCCTGTATTTCAGAGAAACACCAGGAGACTAGAAAGGTGATATAAAGGTACCTGAATTGATGGCAAGGGTTAAAAAAAAAATAAAAATAAAAATAAATAATATTTATAATTCAATAAAAAATATTTTAAACTTGTATTAATTTATAAATTATTTTTTATACTGTATATTAAAAATTATAATAAATCATAACAATCAAATAATTATATTTTTTTTAGACTTTTTTCTTAAACTTAAAATAAGAAGAAAAGGTTTTGTAATTGATATAATTTTAATATTTATAATAGTTTTAATAATTTTTATAATAAATTCTTATACATATATAAATTCTTAATATAATAATTAATACTCTTATAGTATTAATAAAAGTTCTCAAAAATATAATTGAATTAGTTGATATTTATTTAATAATATGTATTCAATTTTTTAAAATATAAAATATATAAATAATAATTGAATTGTTACTATTAGATATAAAAATCCAAAAAATAAATTTATTTTATTAAAGTTTTTTAAATAAAAACAAAATATTATTATAGTTGTAAATTATAAGTTACTTTATTAATAAATAAATAAAATTAATATTTAAATTTATTATAAAAATAAAACCCTTAAGTATAAATTTCAAAAATCTATCACTATGACTCATAAATACGTAAATCATTTTTTTTTATACTGCGTAAATATCTACTACGCCTCATGCCTTGTGCGTGCGATGTTATGATTGTATCATGCGCCACATACGCAGAATCGTAACTAAAAATGGAAATTGATACTTGAACGACACGTCATCTCTCGAATGTAATCTTTAATTTGGAAATTCATCTTTGATGTACAATTTATTCGTTTCTAGCTTTAATTGGTGCATGGTTTCAAAAAAATTTGCTTCAATTATGCTTATTTCGTGATCAAATTAGTAATAAACATGTTTAAGAATACGGAAGGAAATGCCGATTGAACTTTACACACGCAGTGATTATCCATCTATGGGGTAACACCAAAAAAACTCTTTCCATTTTAAACAAACACCAGTAATCTAAAAATTTTATTGTCAAAATCTTACACATATATTATCTCTATATTTTCTTAACTTAGATACAAATGGTAGCGGATTCTGCGGATTCTATAATTAATTACTTTTTTTTTTGTATGATCTTAATTTTTTAAAAATAATTATTATTTGCGTAATTCACACCCTCCGGGATTGAAGAAAGAAAAGCACCGGGCTCTGAGTTTTCAACAAAAGTTTGTATTGGGGAAGCCTGCGGAGTAGGTAAGTAAGTTTGATGAAGAACATTCGAATTCATGTTAAATTGCGGTTGTTCTTGAGAATAGCAGTTTGAAGGTTCCGAGAGAAAATAATTAATATTAAAGTTATACTGAGGATCTAATAAAAATATTTGGTGATCGTTGTTCGTCTCGATATCGAAACCTAATGAGTTTGGATCGATTTCATAATCAGGAATTACGTTGCTATCTGGGAGAGTTGTTGGTGTTGAGTGAAGAGGAATTGGATTAATGCTTCCCAATTTCAATTCGGCTTCTCTTTGCTTATAAAAATCCTTTAAATGTTGTGCATATCTTCTAAACTCTGATTTTACTTTAAGTGATTCTTCGTTCCAAGCTTTGGCCGCCCAGTTAGAAGCCTCGGTCATTTTGTAGTGTAATTTTTGATCCAGCAATACTTTTACGTACATTTTACGATAGATCATAAATGCATTAGACGTTTTGCATCCTACACTTTTTCTTGGTAAAAATTCGGAAATATTGAAATAGAAGGGTGATGGAACTTTCACATAAGGGCGACACGTTGAATTTATTCCCTGGTAGTAAGACATTTTTGATATTAAGTCCATATATATGTTTATCTTTTTTTACCAATTCGAATGTAGTTTTTTCAACAACAGCTTGGATTTTTCACAATAAACACGGCGTTTATATACAATTTTTCGACATTTCTCTTTCCATATATGGAAATGTTCTAAAGAATAGCTTTGTTTACCAAAATAGGAATTTTAGGAAACTTATATGGAAAGCATATGACAATGCTCCAAAGTAAACCAGGCATATCAGAATATTCCACAAGTGTGGCGAATTGTAATTGTGACTTGTTTCATCATGTGATATACTGTATATCAAATCGGAAATAGAATTCGAATCCTGAAACACATTACGCATTGAGAATATAGATTTAGAAAAAAATGCGACACAATGACATGCTTCGTGATTTGTAACCTTTCTTAATTACTTATTACGCTTACAATATAGTCTTTGTTTCTCTATTGCTTTTATCAACTTTTCAAAAAGGTATTTCACAAGATTAATCTTTATGACGTTTTCGAACATTCTAGAGTGATCACACTTTGCATTGTAATTAGCACAATAGAAAAAGGGATCAATGTTAAAAAAAGCTTATACAAAAGTTTGTTAAAAACAATATACTAATAACTAAATTAACAATAGATTATATAATATTACAAATTCTTATACGGTTTTAAACTAGAAATATATAATAAAATTAAAAAAGCAACAATTACATTATTGTTTATATTTATTAATTAAAAATTTCTTAAATAAAATAAATATTTAAATATTAAAAAAAAATTTATATCTATATTTATTTAACTAATAAATTAGGTAATTTTAAAATAATAGATAGTATATAAATAAAAAAATAAAAATTATTTTTAATTATAATTTAATAAAAATTTAGAATTGATTTTTTTAAAATATAAAAAACAAGTTTATTTATAATTATTTTATTGATTTTTTTTTTTTTTGCAACAGTAACTTATATCTTTTTTTATTAAATATTATATTAGGCATATAAAAATTTGCATATACAAATTTTTAGACTTTATTTATTTTTTAAACTTATTAAAACTTATTTTTATTATATGATTTATTACCAAATATAAATATATATTTGACTAATATATCGGAATTCTAGTTATTTCTTATTTGAATTTTATTTAAATAAATAAATAAATATAAATAAATAAAAATTTTAAAATAATATTTTTTTTTAAACTTTTTTCCAAAAATTTTGTATCGCTTAAAAATTTCCTTTTTTAGTAACTGACAAAATTCAAAGGAGAAGCAAA